AGAAACTGGAGGACAAAGTACCCTGGGCTTAACCTAATGTATAATCTAAACCTTACAGTCCACTTTGATAGAAAATCTATCAGGGGTACAAACCATCACCAATGGAGAACAAAACCCACCCATTCATTAGGTGGATCTCCCTGCAAAAATCACTTTCCAGAGTTCTTTGGAAGGGAAGAGATGGGGCAGAGACAACTATTCCTTTAAATCAGGATTGTAAAATCTTGGCAACTTAAAGACTTGTGAACTTCAATTCCCAGAATTCCCAAGCCAGCATGCTATGATTCCATGTCATGTTGTGTTTCACTGCAGCCCTTGGCAGAGCTCTGTGAAAATAATCTATTTTAACTAGTGTGCTGTGAAGACAACCAGTATATTCTATGTTGCTACAAAAGACCGAGGAGATGATTAGGAGTTTGATCAAAATATATGATGTACCAACCTTCATGTGTAACCTTATAGACAGCAAGTATGCATATTTACCTGTTTTGATTAAAATGTAATATAGCTTTGGACTGCAATACTTTATATAAGTCATTGAGGAATGAAGCAATGAATCCTAGTTCCACATGCAGGTAGCATAACATGATTCTGAAACTGAGATGGGATCAGTCCATCATAGAATTCATGATTTAAAATAGAAGACAAATGATTAATGCAAACGGTTCATGCTATTTTTTCTTCTCCCTCAAAAAAAAAAAATCCTTATTCTGTCATCAGTTTCATATATTTGCATAGTGTAAAAAGGCAGTCCTAGCCTCCCTGAAGTTTCCTTCTTGGAAAATGACAGAAAGCGTTTTTTTTTTTTTTTTCTGTTACCACAACAGCCATATCTCTTCTATCTAAGTTTACTGCAGTTATTATTTTTCTTGTTATGTCAGTGTTTTTAAAAAAGGAAGGCATTCTAAAAGAAGTTACTGGATAGGCAACACTCAGAGGCGGAAAAAGCACTTGTGGAAACCTAAATTTCATGCTGGCCTTAAGTTATAGCTTAACTGCTGAAGAAAGTCGAACTGCTCATCTCTTTAGCTTCATGTGGTCTAAACTAACCAACAGCACTTCTCCAAGGTTTGGGAAAGGGTTTTTCCCAAGCATATCTGTTGATGTCAGATTTTATACAATAATGTAGTGGGGAAATTAGCTTCATAAATAATTTTGATAAATAACATATAAGATAGTTTTATCAAAATGGCTGGCAGAAAGTGATTGATTCCAAAGCATTCAAACATCCTACTAATGGAACAGCAGAAGGTCAAGAAGGATACAAAATGGTTGTGAAGAAAGATAGGGCCCGAGAAGCTAAGCCAAACATGAGAAATAATTCAGAAGCAGAAGCCAGGACTTATGAAGGGCAGAATAGATTGAATTAAAGCAGTAGATGAAAAAAATAACTTACAAGAAATATATCTATTTTTATGAGTCTTCCAGTGCCTTTCGGTCTATGTTGGTAAAGGTCTGGATGAGGAGATCCAATAGTTAGTGTTCGGGTTTTTAATTCTGGAGACTTCAAACCAGTGGTGAAATTCAAATTTTTTTACTACCGATTCTGTGGTGGGCGTGGTGTGGCTTGGTGGGTGTGGCAGGGGAAGGACACTGCAAAATCTCCATTCCCTCCCCACTCCAGGGGAAGGATACTGCAAAATCCCCATTCCCCCCCCCACTCCTGGGGGAAGGATATTGCAAAATCTCCATTGCCACCCCGCCCTGGGGCCAGCCAGAGGTGGTATTTGCCGGTTCTCCGAACTACTCAAAATTTCCGCTACCGGTTCTCCAGAACCTGTCAGAGCCTGCTGAATTTCACCCCTGCTTCAAACATTGTATAAAATGCACTGAAACATGCCATTTTGGATGTTTTGTAATCTGCTTGGAGAGTAATAATAAAGAATCAAGAAGACTCAGAAAAAGGTAGCAAAAAATATATTTGTTTCTTTGCACTCCACCACTTCCCTATGAAGGAGATATAGTGGCTTTAGCAACTCAAATAGGATGCAATACTTAAGGCTACAACCTTAAAAATACATCATTCACATAATTTTAGGTACTGAGACCATGCTGCTGCTGATATTTGATCAGGTTGAATATTTCCTTATGGATTGCTTAAATAGTGTACTAATGTGAAAATCAGAAAGATGCATTGATATACATTCCTAAACTTTGTATATGGTGGGCAGCCTTTCATGATAGTCATGGAGCTTGAGTATGCCACCCCTGTACAAAAAGTCATCAGTCTGAATGCCTGAACAATATTTATTTATTTTTCCTGCAGTTCCTTATTTCCTTTCTTTCCCAAATCACGGGTTTAGAGCACATACCCCAGCTTTTGAAAATGGTTCACGCATAACTAGATTTTGTGGCATTATTTATTCTCCTCTCTAGCTGATTTGCATCTGCATATCTCTTTTAAATTCTGTGTCTACAGTGTGGAAGAACTTCCCTTTTGAAACTATTTTCAGTTTGGTTAATGCAGACTTTTCTCCTCTGGGACCTTCCAGATTCTTCTGAGACAGAAACACCAGTCCACTCCATACAGATTAGGAATTCCTCCCAGCAGATCTGGAAAATACCAGGTTAGAAATATTAATGTCTTTTTCTTCAAGGTATCAAGTCGATAAAAATCCCACTACTTTTGAAGATACATCCCAGTGGAGAAGCCGCATCTGTGATATGCTGAAGATACACTCAACATTCAGATGGTCTTTTCAGCCTTGAAGTACAGGTTATCTTACTCTTAGCAGAGTTCATTCAATTATTAACTTGAGCAATGATACAAATCTTTGCATTCTTTAAGTAAATGCACTGCTACCCCATTGCAGTCTCCTTTTGTAGCATTATGCTCTCCTTTTGGAATATATTATTGTTAATCTTCCAGTTATATCACTTCATTCACTGCTGCAAAATTTTAAGCCTTGAGAAAAATGCTGATGATTTCCCAGCTGAGCTGAGAACAATAAATCCAGTCCCTCTTTGTTGAACTGGTAATCTATAGTAGTGTTTTCCTGGGTAATGGAAACTCTAGCTCACTCACTTTGTTCATAATGCATTTTCCCTACGAGGTCTCCTGACACTGTGTATCCCCCTACTCCATACTTAAAGTACTTTTACAATTGTTTTTATGGTAATTGCAATTTTTTTCTGCATTGAATAATTATGTGCATTTCAGAGAGTTCTATTATAACAGTTACCAGTGGGAATGGTTTGAAAGCTGTACAACCTGTTTTGTAACACTGTCTCCCAAGTTCTCCTTTCACCTCGGGCAGAGGGAAGGGATTTGAAGGTAGTAAGTTCATGGTGGCTTTTTTAAAGGCTATTTTTCATTGTGCAACTATGAATAACCAAGCATTGTTTATTTTAAATCTGCACTCTTGCACAACCACAAAGGTGAACAAGCAGTTCCTAGACTCTCTCTCTCTCTCTCTCTCTCTCTCTTCTCTCTTCCCTCTCCCTCTTTCTCCCCAATAGTTTTTTTTTTTTTTTAAAGTAACCAGTAACATCAATACAAAGTGAGGGGAAGTCATTCCTATATCTGGACACTTTACTATTTGGCAAAAGGACCCGGCATTGCCACCCAAACTACAACCAGCCAGGCATTTACAAGAATATAATTACAGAAGTGCACTGTTAAACCATTAAATGTCTATTTGCATTAACAGAACTGTTGTTAATACATATACCTAGTGTTTCTAAAGATCCATTTGAGATAATGTCCATCATAATAGTATGCCTTCTGGATTCTGTAAATTAATGACGCATTGTTTGAATAAACAATTCCTCTCTCTTTCTGCCAATTAATTTAATGGATAATCCCACCCTTTGGTGGTGCAGCGGTACATTTTTGGAAGAAATATTATGATTTCTTCATATACGTTGAAAATGATTACAGAAAAAATGATAAAGACTGGAAGCCTTGTATGGACTTTTTATTGAAAGAAGAAAAGACTGAATTGAAGATTTATGAATTTGGGGATTAAAAATGGTAATGCAGAAAGGGGGAAATTAAAAAAGCAATTACTCGATAGAAAGAAAGGTGGAAGTAATAATTCTGTTTTCTTATTTTTCTCATTTTTTTTAGTTTATCTTATTTTTTCTTTCATATTTTCTATACTCAATTGTATTGAAAATGTGTGTGTGTGAAAAACATTCATATACAGCAATGTTCATTATTAATTTATACCTGTATTACATTTAAATTACACATACATCATTCTATTCATATCTACATTCCTCACATGATTTTATATGTTTTTGTCATGCTTCCGCTAACCCACTTCTTCTCGGTTTTCAAGTTTCAAATTCTATAATCTTTCCTCAAAAAGGACCAATATTTTGATTGCCTTTTTGCAACCTTTTCAATTTTATACTGTTTCACGATTGATAGTCAGAACCTATGTGTAATAGTATAAGTGTGTTTTTATATTGTTCATTTTATTTTCAAATCACTTCCTGAATTATTTCAAGCACAGAAAAAGTAGAAATCTGACTTTTTAAAATGCAATTATTAACTGTGTTGATTCTTTCATTGAGCTACTCACCCTTTTCTCACCAGGCCTTGCCTCCTCAGATCCCATTTGGAGCTAATTCTTGATTCATAACAACTGGGGCCTGAATCTCTATTGCTATGCGATGTGGTTATTAAATGAGTCATGCCTGATTTTGTAACTTTTTGTCACAGTAATTAAATGAATCACACAATTCTTAAGCGAATCCAGCTTTCTCCATTGATTTTACATGTCAGAAGTCAGATGGGAAGGTCACAAATGGAAATCATATGATTCTAGGACACTGCAACTGTCACAAACACATGATGACTGTCAACTGCCTGAATTTGGGTCATGTGACCATAGAGATGCTGCAATGGCTGTAAGTATGAGAACTGGTTATAAGTCACATTTTTCGGTGCCATCATAAACTTCTAACAGTTATTAACCATACTATTGTAAGTTGAAGACTACCTGTATAAGTTATGTGAAGTCTGTTTTGTTTTGTTTTTTTGTTTTTTTGATATAGGTGTCTGCAGGTAATGATGGTGGCATAACAATTACAACAGGAACATGAAGATGTTGTGGCCCGAAAATATGTTTTATTTGTTCTTTGCTGTTCCTTGACATTCTGACACCCTGGCAGATAATTATGAACATGCATCACTTTGTTCTTGCTGATACTAAAATATATGTGCCGTCTTGATGTAATTTCACCCAGTCTAGAAACAGATCTTTTTGGAGCTCTTTGTAATCCTTTTTATTTTAGCAACCAACCAGTTACGTATCATTAGCAAAGCTGTTCACTACATTGTCTACATTTATAAACTCCAAATTGTTTATAAAAAATTCAAAAAGTATCAGTCACAGTAAGATTCAAGGAGACTCTATTTTGATTGCCTCTAATTTAAGCATTTCTCTTATTCTTGTTCTGTGCTTTCTGATCTTTAATCTATTTATCAATCTAAGAGAGCCCTTGACCTTTTATATCATGGCTGCCAAGTTTGTTCTGCCTTTAAATGAGAGACTTTATCATTTATTTTTTTTAAAAAAGCAAGCACAATATATCTCTTCAATCATCCCAGGTTCTCCTGACAAAAGCCATGCTGGTACTTTTTCGACAAGGCAGTCTTCTATATGCCACTTTCCCTTTAATTATAAATTGTAGTATTTACTCCAAGCAGGCATTAAGGTACCTGGCTTATAATTTTCTCTGTCCACTCCCTTGTTCCTTGTTCTAAAAATCAGATTTACATTGGCTCACTTCCATTCCTCAAAACACATCAGTTTTATAGAGAAACTGCATATTTTTACCAAAAGATCAGCAACTTCACAGTTCAGTTCTTTAAAAACTTCGGGTAGATATTATTGGATCCATAGATTTCTTTTTTTGTTAGATAGCTAGACTATTAATCCACTTTCTAGGTGCTTTGTCTATCCCTTTGTGAAAAAGATAGACAACCACAAGAATCAGATTAGCATCCTCAGTGTGGAAACAAAGTATTTGTTCATTTTTCCTGCAATTTTCTTTATATATGTTTGAGTCTGTGTTGACTCCTGGACTAGTCCCTGAAATTTTCTTGGCAAGATTTCAGAAATGGTTTCCCATTGCCTCCTTCTTGGGGCTGAAAGGGAATGGCTCAAAGTCACCCAGCTGGCTTTGTTCCTGAGACAATAATATAATTCAGTCGTTCAGTTGCTAGCCTGGAGAACCAACCTAGCTCTCTTCTTTTAGCACAGCTTTTGTGTCATCCAATAGCTTTCTCAACCCATTTCCAGTTTAGAATATATTTAATAAATGTTTTGTTGCTCACTTTTAATCTTCTTTGCCACAGGTTCCTGAAAATCATTCCGAATACTATTTATTTACTGCGGGTATATATTTTTCCAAAAAGTGTGTTCTTTGTTTTCTTCTTAATTTGGGTAAGGTTTGCATTTTATGAAGGAAGCTTGCATGTCTTTGACAGCTTCTCTGAACACTCTGGTTTTCTCTTGCATTTGTGACATTCTTCCTTTATCTAAAACAATGGTTCAGTTGTCCAAATTGCCCCCTTTGCCAGTCTTAAATGATGTCATTACTCCCTCCCTCACCCCTTCCCAAAAAAGATGCTGCTTGGCCACAGCAGTCCCAAATCAGATCCTCAGCTCACAAACAAGCAATAACAAATTGCTTCATTACCCCCAACTTAAATCCAAACACCCGATTTAAGCCATTGGTCTAAGATATAATTTCTAACTGAAAATCTATTATATATATTGTTGTGTATTCAGCCACGCCAGGGCATAGCAACACGGAGACGCCTCCCATTGGCTGAGGCATGACAGCTCTGTCAGCGGGAAAAATGGACACGTGCTATTGGTCTGCCCTGTTTGACAGCTGCTATATAAATAATAGCATGCCTGTTTGTTGCTGTTGCCAGTTCTGTACTTGTTAGCCTGTTACTGTTCCTGATTACATGAGTTAAGCTTCAGCCATCTCTGCTTCAGTTACTTTACACCCTAGTTCTCCCGAACAGAACATATATACTTTACTTTTTAAAATTATTTAGAGTGATTGGAGATTTTCATTATTCACTTTTGGTTATCAATCACTTTACAATTTGCAAGCCTGTTCTTTGAAATCAGATATAATAGGGTTTGCTTGCATAACAATCCCTTTGTGTGAAAGTTAAATGTAATGCAATGGCATCTTTTACAATCAATTGAATAATGTGTATATTCCTTGCACTACTTGAAATTAAGAGCAGGATCATGCCCCCTCTAATGTACTCCTTGTGCAGCTGTTCTAAAGAATAATAATTTGATTTGGATTAATGCAACACTTTTAACCAGATGTCAACTTTTTTCTACATAGGCCAAAAATCAACTCCAAAGAAAGGTAAAACTACTTTTGACTATACTAGCCAAATTTTAGAAATCTATTTGTGTTGTACCTCCTGATAGTTTAGTGAACTGCTTCTAAATGTTATTTGACTGTTGGGGATTTACATTTTACCAAAGGTGTTTGGTAAAAGGTGTTTGCTGTTATCCATTAATAAACCAGCTTTCTCGCAAATAATCTTGTACATTTTCTATTTCTATATTTTCTATCTGAAATTAGACTGAGCTTGAATCAATGGAGGGAGTTATAACTTGATAAAATTTGGGCATTGTGTGCAAACCTGCAGTCAATTTATGAAAATTTTTCTCTAGTATACTCCCTTGGTCATATTTACCTAAACTAAGCAGTACTAACTGCTATAACCAATTACTTCTCACACAAAGGCTGCATTACTGATATTTGGTGGTAAAACCACACAGAAAAGTGATATGAAGAAGCCATAAATATTTCCTATAACTTTTTAATCATTGACTGTTCCTTATTTCTCTTTTCAACACCTGAACGAGATAGGATTTTCCCATATGAAGAATAGAAATTAGGTATATATTTATTGAGATATGGTTGAATGTTAATATATGCAAAAAGTGAGCAGGAAGTTGATCCGGTGGGTAAAATATTAATCTTGGGCTGAAATTCCACTTTACAAAGTCTTTTCTCATCACCTTGTGTGGCAATAGATATATAAATTTCCTTGTTTAAACAGATGTCTTTGTAGGGTTAAATGTCATGGTCCTCAGGATAATGGGCAATAGGGAATCTTTTAATTAGAAAAGTGAGTTATATACTTGATTGGAGGAGCCATCTGAACATCAGCAGAGAGTAAATGTTTTTCTAAACAGGGAATCAATAGCTGAATTGATTCCATTGTTCCTCTAATGTGAAATCTGTGACATTTGAATGGAGAATGGGATGATTCCTGTTGGCTTCTGAAGGTCTAAATTCTTGCCAGATTTTGGCATAGGACAATATTTCTACTGGCGGCATCTTGGCCATGAGCCTGGGAAGTTTTCTTTCCTTCTCTAACAAGATGCATAGCCTATCTGAACTACACAAAATGCTCTGTTCCCAGAGTGATTAGTATGGCATTGTCTATTGTAGGGCTATAGTGGGGCCTCAGGGCATTGTCTGTTGACAACCACAAATCTACTTGATATTTCTTTTGTTGTCTTTCCTTCCTTGTTACAAATTTCTCTCTCTGGAACTGTACTGTTAAACAACAATCATAAAGCATCCATAAATGATCAAACATTAAATTGAAGTATCTTGCCATTATCTAGATCCCAGCATAATATTCTACTGGACATGCCTTCAGCTGACCACCATCTGGAGCCAAAATGACAAGGATTAAGTTTATTTCTCAATTTTGGTCCCTTTCTATAAACACCGGAAGAGATAAATTTAAAAAGAAAAGACATACAATGGGGATGAAAATGGGCAGGAGTAAAATACTGTGAATTATTGTGTTCGAATTCCATTCCCATTCACCCCCCAAAATAGTCATTTTTTGAACATAAGTCTCTCTCGCTTTGAGCTCAAGTCTTTATACAGTATGTGACTTCATAGGCATATGGTCTGTCTTCTTGATAATGACATAGCTGTTTATATTTTCCTATGAAATTTCTTTTTTTAACTTCCAGATATCTCTAGGGTGTGGAGTCTTTTGAGGTCAGCCCAGCTAGATGCTATTACCTAATTGGACTGTTGGAGCAAACTGGTAACCTTAATTTAATGTCTTGGAAAGTGGCTTCCCTGTGACAGTGGATGGAAACTTGGCACTATAAATTGATCTAGAGAAAGACAATTCACCCAAATACAGAACAGTTAGAGGAAGAAACCCTGATTAGGTTCAGGTTGGAGAGATATATATACAGATCCCTACTAGAAGTCTACTACCATGAGAAGAAAACTGAAACTAAAGTTCAAGATATTTTACTAAATAATATATATAAAAATCCATTTCCTTAAATTTAGATCAACTGAATCCATGAGTGACTGAGTCTTACCAATGGCCTTGGCATTTTCTGGAAGTTTCTTCTACATCTCCAACTTGTTTTGATTTCTCAGTGGGAGCTGCATTCTGGCATTGTCTGGCAGAATCCCTTCCAAATACTAACCAAATTTGATTCTTTTTATCTCTGCTGACCACTATACTCTGCTTTCCTACAATGTACAAAGAAACATAGTGCCTATGAAGAAACATAATTTGTTGTTGTTAGTTGCAAAGTTGTGTCCGACCCATCGTGACCCATGGACAATGTTCCTCCAGGTTTTCTTGTTCTCTACCATCTTCTGGAGTCCATTTAAGCTCACGCCTACTGCTTCAGTGACTCCACCCAGCCACCTCATTCTCTGTTGCTCTCTTCTTCTTTTGCCCTTAATCTTTCCCAGCATTAGATTCTTCTCCAGTGAGTCCTTCCTTCTCATTAGGTGGCCAAAGTATTTGAGTTTTAGCTTCAGGATCTGGCCTTCTAAAGAGTAGTCAGGGTTGATCTCCTCTAGGATTGACTGGTTTGATCATCTTGCAGTCCAAGGGACTTGCAGAAATTTTCTCCAGCACCATAGTTCAAAGGCCTCAATTCTTTGGCACTCAGCCTTTCTCATGGTCCAACTTTCACAGCCATACATTGCAACTGGGAAAACCATAGCCTTCACTATACGCACTTTTATTGGCAAGGTGATGTCTCTACTTTTTAGTATGCTGTCTAGATTTGCCATAGCTTTCCTCCCCAGGAACAAGCGTCTTTATAATATGTCTCCAGAAACATAGTAAAGCTACTAGTTTCAGTGGCTGTAGCACTGCCTGAAGCTAAGGTAGCACTTTCAAAATTCCAGCAGTGAGGGAGCAGTAGCAGCAGCAGCAGCAAAAAACAAAAAAACCCAGGCTATTGCCATTTTGACTTTGCTCCAAATTCCTCCCCCTCCCGCATCAGATTTGGTACTGTGTAAAGGAATCCTGCTCAAGCAGGCCGAGCTCTCAAGCTGTTCAGTCTTCAGTATAGGAGCCTTTTCAATGACCTTGGGAAGTTCACCAAGTTCAAGTGAAACAAAGTACTGACTGAATGCTGCAAGCAGCTGCTCTTGGCTAAAAAAAATGAAATTAAAAAAAAGGTGAACAGGAAGCTGTAGAAAACTTGGACAGAGGTTGGAGAACTTTGCCTCTGCTTGTAAATTTATATAGGGATTCTTTCCCTTCCTTGTAAGAAAATATATTTAAAATGCTGTTGCTAGAAGAGACATAGTTCTACTCGCTTCTGGTCAAGTATCCTGTGCATAATGATTGTTGAATGACAAGTCACCAAAAGGTTTTTATTTTTTATCAAAGCAAAATGCATTTCTTGTCGAGTGTCTTAGCCCAAGGTTGGAATGAGTTCTTCATATCCCAGCCAAAGGACACCCCAGAGTACTTGTATCCTTTCTTGGCATTTTTAACTGCCTAGTGAACATCCTTCTGTCCCTATCTTTCCTTCCCTTTCTCTTTCACACACACACGCACACACTTATCCCCCCGCCATTTATTTGGAAGGATAGAGGGCTTCTTATTTTTTCCTCCTGCAGCCATATAAAAAATTGACATACAGTAGTGGTCAAAATTGTGGAATCCTTTTTGGAAAAGTGTATTTTTGAGGTTTGATGGCTAATAACACCACTTTTTTTTTTTTGGAGTTTCAATATAATCATATTCCACTGCTAGAATGGCCTGGGAATAGCCCAAACCTTAACCCAATTGAAAATCTATGGAGCCGACTAAAGAAACTTGTTAGTCAGAAGCGACCCAGCAATAAAACCCAATTAATAGAAGCAATCATTCCATCTTGGTTTCACATTATAACAGCTGCAGAACTAAAAGACTTAGTTCACTCCATGGGAAGACATTGTAAGGCTGTAACTCATGTTAAAGGTTACCCAACTAAGCATTAACTGACATGATAATTTTTGTATATCTCATTTTTTCTATAGTGATCATTTTTGTATCTTGTTTTTGTCTACGTTTCACTTTTTTTCTTTATACTGTAACTGCTATTCTAATAGAAAATCCTTCATAAAAGTTATTGCATTACATTCTTGATTAAATTATCTTTCTATTGATATATAATTTTATGGTACTACTCCAAAAAATGTGGTGTCATTAGTTTTAGAAAATACACTTTTCCCAAAAGGTTTCCACAATTTTGGCCACTACTGTATCTATAGCTTGCTCAAGACTTTGTATTTTTTAAAAGTATCTTTTTTTTAAAAAAGACACAACTGGGGTGAACCAGGCTGAGTTTGGGAATTCTTGTCTGAACAAGAACTCTGATATGCATGCCCCTTATTTACTCATAAAGGGCTCTATCTGTGTTGCCCCTAATAACAAATTAAAGAAGAGTGAAGTTTCTCAGTGAAGCCTCAGAGGAAGTTCTGACTCATCTGGCCAAAATGGGCTATGCAAAGAGCACTTTGTGGGGTCCTTGGTGCTCTCTGTGTTTGATGGCTTTCTTGCAGATGTTTCATTAGCAAACTAGGTAACATCCATCAGCACTGGGTATTCCTTGATTCACTCTATTGTGGGCTTTGATGATGAAAAGTCTGCAAGAAAACCACCAAGGTCAGAGAGCATCAAGGACCCCCACAGTTCAACCTTGAGCTATAAATATTCTCTTCCAAAGAGCACTTTCTTTCCTATCATGGAGGAAATGTTTGTGTGTGCAAGTCTGTGCGTGCAAATCTGAGAAAGGGAGCAAAGAAAGAGTTTAGCTGTAATGGTTTTGTGTCTGTGCAGGATTATAGCAATTCAAGGGTGGCCAGGCAAGTACTGGTGGCAACAGAGCAAACTGGCTACTATTTGTGGTACATGTAAATGTACAATTTTCTAAATTTGGTATAATGTACAAACATACAATGAACAATTCTGTAAATAAGACCTGATGTTAAACATCAGGTTCCTGTAATAATTGTTCTGGGTTGGTTTTTTTTACTGCATATGTGAATGGCACATATAATCTAGTTCATTAACATTATTAACTATTTAATTTTGATATCAACATAATTCAGACAGGAAAATAAGCTTTGGGTATAATCTGTGGGAGACGGGTTATATACTCTCCTTTTTGTGACTTGCTAGAAAAAGTGCCAGTTAACCCACACATCTTCCTTCTGTTATTGTGCATATATACATTTGGGAATCAGCACTTAGGAAAAGCACATAAAAGCTAGCTAATTGCTTTGGGGTTTCGAGGAAGAAGAAAAATAGAAATAGCAGCTAACTGAGATGGCTCCTTTTTAAATATCCCCCCCCAACTACGGAAGAGGTGTAGATGACCAAGCGCTTGCTTGTAGGTGTTAACATCTGTTTCCTAAAATGCTCCACTGCCCTCTACAGTTTAAATGACAGGAAGAGTATGGAATCTATTCTTTCTTGGCAAGTGATGAGGCTACACACAGCACTACCCTATAACAAACAAGTGTAAAATATAGAGTGAGGCTGCATAGGCATTGATTCACTCTATAGTGCAGTTATATATTTGGCTGGCAGTTTCTTCCAGAGATGCTGCCGCAGGGAAAGAATGAAGATGTGCTACAAGGATTGGATGTGCCTAGTTTGGCTGAATGATGAGCAAAGGGAGATGAAATAGAGGATTACAAATTTAGGAAGGCAAAAAAAAAATCATAAAAGAGAGCAAACTTTTTGATGTTATGTAAAACAGATTTATCACAATCAAGGGAAAGATTACAAGCATTAGCTTTCTGCTGGATTCATTTCAATGCATTGCTGCTCTGGACTAAGACCAGCAGAACTTGTTCTGATAGGACATTGTTGTTTTAGCTTTCACGTACTGCTCTTCTCCTTTTGCTGCAGTAACCTTGAGTCCCTAAGGGGACTCTAGGATACAACATCCTAAAGGAAGCTTTGCACAAATGCAGCATATACAAAAGAAGGGGGGGTAGGGAATCATCCTTCTCAAATGCTTACTTATTCAGAAGGTTCATTTTTTACAACAGATCTTTTACTTACTGATTTTAAATGAGGCTATGTTCTCCCCTCACTCTTCTTGGAGATGCATAAATGAGTTTACATGTACAATTTTTAAAAAGCCAAGCAAGCAAACAAATAATTCCACCCCCAAGTTGCTTGTAGAAACTTCTGATGCTGCTGAGGTAGTTTTTTTTCCCCCTGTGTAAAAATATTGCATTGCAGAAAATCTAAGCAGCCCAACACCGAATTAACTTTACTAGTTCATTTGAATTCAGACTGGGCAGTTTTCTTATTAAATTTTATTTGATATACATCAAAATAAAAATTAATTTGTTTTTTCTCATCATTATCTAATAACTGCCATTCTAGCCAAACAATCGCACAAATAGCAGCAATAATATCCCAATAACCTCAAAGGTAAAAACGTGTTTCATCTAATTTATTTTTAATTATTTCACTTTATGTGGACAAATACCACCCAATGGTGTATTTCTGGGTTCCACCATTTCAACAAAGGGTAAAACCTACAGCTGTAGTCAGAAAACATGATTGGGGAAAGCAAAGCACTGTCAAGGAGCAGAACCATATGACAATACCTGTCCTCCCAATTGGCCTGCTACCTGAAACTGGAATGGAGAAATCAGAACCATGATGGTGAATCTAATCACTCATCCAAATAATGACAAACTCCTCTTCCAAGGAAGACAATCTTCCATCAAATCTTCAGGATAGCTATTTTTAATCAAATGAGGGCAGATAAA